AGACAATTGATTCTCACAACTTATTACTAAAGAAATCAGTGCCTGTAGCTTCTATTCTACCTTCTCAGTTGGATAATCTTCCAGAAACACCAAATCTCTAGGGCTACTCTCCTACACTTGCAGATGATGGAGTGCCTATTCCAATGAAATTACTGAGAGAAGACTCAGAATGAAGTGACACTTCCTATAACTGGCTGATAATTAGCCACTGAAAGCTCAGCTGCTATCATCTGGATCTGGAAAGTCTCCTAGAGACCCATGTGTTGAAGGTGGTTTGGCATCCTATGGTGAGCTTATGGTGAGATCAGGAAGTGGTGGAACTTCTAGGAAGCTGGACCCAGTGAGAAGTTATGTCGTTGAGGGAGTGCCTATAGGGGGAGGACCTTGGCACCTCATCCACATCTGTTTGTTTTTGCTTCCTAACTGCCATGAGAATAGTCTTCCCCTGCCATCTGTTTATATAATAGTGCATTACCTTGCAAAAGGTCCAGACCAAAAAGGCCATTTGATCATGAGCCAAAACTGTGAGCCAAAATCAAGCTTTCTTCTTTTACATTCCCTCAGTTACTTTGTCATAGTGAAAAAGAAATGCTGGTTAACACATCAGTTCAGCATAAATTGCATGACATAGCATCTATCTGAGTTTTGTATGTATGGTGTGGAATGTAAACAAGTAAAAGTCTGAGTCTTTACCCTTTCCTGCATGTGTCGGAAGCTTTGCAGTGGATCATGATATGAATTAGGGCTACTAACTTCTGGTGAGTTCTCCAGTGTGCATTCAGCAGACTTTGAGGTGAAAATTTTTATGCAAGTGTTTTATTAAGGAAATGCTACCATAAAAACAAATAGAGGGGTGGAGAAAGGAGAGTAGATATGATTACAATCTTAGACAATGTCTCGTGGAAGGCAGCTTTAGCCCAAGGTGGCAGGGATGCTTCAGAGGGTAAGTAACACTCCAGAATTTTTCTCCCTCTCAGTAAGGGAAGTGGGCTTTTATATTTCCTTGTGTATTCCTTGGTGACTAAGGATTATCTCATGGCAGGGGTATACAAATTTCTTTTTATCTGCCCTAGTGGGCAGAAAGCCACAGTAGATTGAGGCCAGAATTTGAAAGACAGCTTCATGTAGAGATGGATGGAACAAACCTTCTCATATCATAAGAATTTGTGGGGATCTGGCTGAAGACAAATGCTATCCCACAGATAGTAAATGCCATCACAACTGTTATCATCAGCAGGCTTAGAGAGCCAGAGATGCTTTCTCCCTATAATAAAAAGGGAACTGAACCCCAATGCCAACATGAAAGTGGTTACTATGGTTTCTAAGAGAAAGGATGTCTGAGAAAGGCCTTGGAGATCTTAAATATTATCCCAGTGAGTTCTCTCAACTACTCCCAGAAAGATAACTTGAAGGATGCTTTTTTCTCTCATAAATTGATTTCCAAAGAGCCTTTATTTGCTTCAATGTTAACTTCATGGTAGCTAAATTAATTTTACACACTAAGATGCATGCTAATTTTTCTTTGTGTTGTGCAAAATATGATGTTAGAGATTTTCTAATAATCACTCTTATTCATAGGACACAAAATGATGCAACTGATAGGAAACTGCTAAGTCCTATCAGCACTACCTTTTATATTGAGGCTTTTTATTTCATTCTAAGAAACTGCATGTTGTATGAGAAAATATTTCCTACATGTAATATCAGTGGAATATTATGTTATTGTGAACATATTTGCTTTTAATAATAATGTATAATATTATACTGCTGTTAATAATAATGTATAATAGTGTACATCCCCTCTAGATCACATTCATGTTGGTCATGGGTTTAGTGTTATCATATTTTCAAGAAATAGGATTTTATTTCAATTTTATCCAGAGATCAAGCATACATCATGAAGCTTTTCTATGAATCATGTATGGCAAGTTTCTGGTCAACAATTACAAACCACATCATTAAAGTCTATTTCCTTTGGATTTATGTGTAAACATAAGAAGTATGTAACTCTTTATGCCTATTTTAAAAATATATTCTAATTTTTAAATGTTTTTATCATATTCTGTTGGGACTTAAAGTTCAACATATCAATACTTGATGAAAAATACCTGTTCCATATTATGCCTAAGATGTTTGATATGCAGACAGATAGTGAGGTTAAGCTTAACAGCCTAAGTTGTATGGTAATAACAATAAGCTTGTCTTCTGGATGGTTAACAACCTAAGTTTGCAGGCCAAAATTAGAGAAAAAGGAGGGCTGCACGAAAAGCCAACATTTTGGCCCTAGCCTTCCAAGGTCACTTAAGACTCAGGACATATGAGAACTTATACTGTAACGTCATGTAACTCAGTAGTGTCCCAAATTTTCTGATCAAGGAGATTATGGGGCCAAACAGGAAAGTGATGGATGATGTAGAGTGTGCCTAAGGAGAGTCACATGGAGAGAAAACATTCTCTCAGGCTTTTGTAGAGAGCACATTGACCAAGCAATGGCCGTGACTCATTCACATGGCTGACACTGACAAAAGTTCTACAATCTGAGGTACAGGATCTCAGGATAAATCCTGAGGGAATTTCACTGACCTTGTCAGACTCAAAAGCTACAACTCTTGTTGCATAGGTCCTGCTTTACCTTGGTCTTAACCATCCAGCAGAAAAGTATGAAAACGAAGTATAAGAAGTAAAGCCATGCTGTTACGTTGAGCTGTAGGGGACTCATGTCAACAATTTCTGACATTGCCAGTCAAGCAGAAGACCCAATACTATTATGGACTACTGAACTCTTTTAGAATATTTTCCTGAGTTTGCACACCTATAAAATTTAAATGATGGAACTTAACAATAAAGGGGGATACAGATGAATGTCCGTTTTGTATCTGTGTATTCAAAGTGGTTAGGATATATAGTTACATTCTCTTAATGAATAGAGTGATTTGTTCTAATGGTGTTTGTAAATAGGATATCATGTCTGCATCTTGTACAGCAATTAACCACTAGGAATAATATATGCAATGTGTTAATTATTGAAACTGTCCTACCATTTTGAAAAAAAAAATCTATTTCTCCTTTGAGCCTCACTCTCCTTGCTTGTAAAATGCAATCCATGCATAGTGGCACAAGCCTGTACTCCCAGCACTTGTGAGACTGAAGCAGAAGGAATGCTGTAAGTTCAAGGCCATCCTGGGATATATAATGACTTCAACATCATCCCGGACTACATGATGAGAAACTGTCTCAAAAATAAATAAATAGTGTGCTAGATGTCTATAATTTTGTTCAGATGACTGCAGAACCTGAAAAAACTGTTGCTCCTATTTTAAAAGTTATCCCAGTTTACTGTTTTGAATTAACACCGTACAGAAATTAGCAGCCATATTTGTTTAGAAACATTATGCTTAGTTTTTCCATTTGTACAGGTGTAATGCAGTATAATAAATATGTAAGGTCTTATCTACATGGGTTTGATTACAGAAACTGATTAAGTATTCTCTGAAGAATGAAAAAGGAATGAATGAATGAATGAATACATAAATAAAATGGGGATAATGATACTTATTCCACAAGGCTGTTGGAATCATTAAATGAAAAAACTGGTATTGGTGATGACATGAGGCATATGATTTTCACTTTGTGCTACTGGACCTGGATTTCTTTTGGGGAAATCTTGCCTTAGAACGGAGCAAGTTGTGATTATTTTAAGCCAGCCAATGCATCTTACTTCTCTAACTGAAATCACTAACTCAGAATGGGCAAATAATGTAATTAGAGCTCTTCTTCTCCCAAGGCCCAAGACATTGTGGGAGGAGGAAGAAATTTTTCTTCATCTGGACGGTGTGATGCAAGGATGAGAGCCTTTTACCACTGTAACCATTAGTGCCCTAAAGAAGCATGCTTAGGGTAAGTGAGACCTGGTTTCTAAGAATATTTCAAAACTGAATGTAAAAGCAATAGAGAGAAGAGAACCAAAAGTTTTCAAGGCCTTGATAAGACTGCAGCCTCAGGATCAAGCTATGCTTCATTACCACTAGTCAAAAATCTCCTCTTGGTTTTGAGCATCAGAAGCTGGAGTTTCTGTCTCTTGTATTTATTGAGGGTCTACAATGTGCCTGATAGAATGCTGACAGTTTTACATAATGTGCTCATTTAAGCTTCACAGCAGCCCTAGGAAGCTGCATCTGTATATTACAAATGGGAATGTTAATGGTCACCAAGTTAAGTACCATGAGCAGTCATGAAGCCAAGACCAAATCAAGTTAAGTCTGATATGAATCCAGAATCGTTAATGTTTTTGCTTCCCTGTATATAAAGAACAATCTTTGGTAGCATAAATGTGATTTCTTTTCTCACCTTCCTTTCAACTTAAGAATTGCTAGAAATCTGGAAAGACTCTAATTGCCTGCAGTGAATCTAATGTACTGATGATGTAGATTAAAACATGCTGTACTACACTGGCACTTAGAATCAGCTCTAAGCTTGTTTTCCTGACTATAATTGAAGTCTGTGTTATGAATCCCAAAAGCAGAAATGAGGAATGTAGGAAATTAGACACTGTGGCTACTGATTACTTTCTCCTGCAAGCTAAGACAATACTATTCCTGTTTATGGTCCAAATGTAAATAATGAGAAACAGAAACTGTTTTGAAATTGTTCATGCCTTTCAGATTTTTTTGCCCATATGCAAATGAAGACATTCTCATTCTAATAGGATTGTGTAAAGTTGCTCTTTGATAATCAACAGAGAGCTTCAAATTACAAATATATTTTTAATAAGAAAATTAATAATACATATGATTGTATCTCTTGGTATACAATCTACTTCCACAAAGTTTCCAAAACAATGGATTTACATTTATTATATTATTCCAAAACTTGCTGCACTCATGTTTGTAGATCATCCCTTGATCTTTGGAAGCCCTCAGAGTCTTCAGGTATGTGCTGTCAATTTTGCTCAAGTTTGCCTAAATAATTAACTGTTTTACTAATCTAAAAGTACATCCTACCTTGGGCTGAAGCACAAACCATTCATCACATGGATTTTCAAAGTTCCATGAGTCAAAAGGAATCTCCACCTCTCCAAGGAAGCTATTATAACCAAACCGATCATAGTGCCACACTGAAAGCTGCAGGGTTCTTGTTTCCAGCTGGGTATGGCTGATGGTATACTGTAAATGAAATGAACAATATCACATTCCATAAGGAAGGCTCTGTTCAATTTCAGAACCAATTGAAATTTATTTCTGCTGGTATATGGAAAGAAGTATTTAATGCTTTAATTTGTTTCATCTCCTTTTTTCAATTGTTTTTCCTTTTTGTTTTAATTTCTTATACATTTCATTTTTCTTCTTCCAATTTTAGATGTGTATGTCTGGTAATATAAATAACTGGTTAGAAATCAACACTATGTATTACAACAAATACTGTGAAATTCATATTACTCTGTTAAGTAAAATTCTGCATCACTTGTAATTTTTTATATTTTAATTCTAATTTGTACTCTTTAAAAAACTAAAAAAAAGAAATTTATTGCCACCATCTTTCAGATCATACACATCAGTCATATGAACAAAACAAACACTAAAAGAGCAGTTTGCTTCTTCTATAATTGAGGTTCTGTTCCATAAACTAATTTTATGTCATATGTAGTGATGAAAGATATGTAAACATATTATTTGGCAAGGGAATAAACTCCAGATATGGCATAAAAAGTGTCAAACTAAGAAACTTATCCTCTTTATAGCTTTACTTTCTTTTTATTGGCCTATTTCTATTTTCATATTTACTTGATAACTCAAAGTTAAATATATCAATTCTACAAATTATATATTTTTATTTATAGTAACTCTCTTAAGTCCTGAAAAGTATTGACAATGGAAAACTTGTGGACACTTAACTTCAAAAAACTTGACCTCAATGTAGAGGTGATGAGATATGTATACAAACCCAGCAGAAAGAGGATATTTCTGGGTTACCTTTGCCCATTCCAGAAGACTGTTACCCAGAGCCTTAGCCCATATACCTGCCAACTTTCTGCTTGTTCTATACAAACACCATCATACTTCAGGCTGACCTCTAACCTTGGATTTGTGTGTGTTCCCATGCTTTTGTTTTATCATGATTAATCTTGGATCCATGCTTCCTGAATTTATCCCATCTCTATGTTTATCCCTTCTACTTGAGCTCATCTTTTGTATTTATCCTGTTACAGTCACTGGAATCATCCTCTGCCTTTATTTATTTTGAGTTTGATTTACCTTGATATTAGTTCGTGCTTCCACAATGTCTTCCCCGAACCACACAAGCTATGGCTTCTGTCATCATCATCTTTCTCCTATGTTGGGCTTTGCCTTCATTATTCTAGGCATAAGTACATCAATTTCCTGGGACTGGCAATAATTTCTACATTTCATTTTTCCTGGGTATTTCTTACTAGGCCTGATTGGTCTAAAGTTAATGAAAGAACTGTACCTTGGAAGTCCACTAGAAATAGAAATTTCTTCAGGTCTAAGACCTGAGTCATATTTTATCTAGGAAACTTTCTTGGAGATTTACCAAATCTGATTCTTCATCTCTACTCTTCATTAACTGCATTCCTAAACTTAGCAGAATTCTGAAATCCCAACAAGAAACAGCACATATCAGTACTGTATTACCAGAATAATGACTGTCAACAAAGTGACCTATTAAATTTGTGTCAAAGCTCTGACAAATCTCACTTAAAGGAATCTAATAAAAGCGATTTTCCTAGGGGCCAAACATGCTTTGTACCAAAGATTTATCACTTCAGATATCATTTTGCTGGATCATCTTATTTAAGGCACTGCTTTAGCAGCAGCAGCAGCAGCAGCAGCAGCAGCAGCAGCAGCAGCAGCAGCAGCAGCAGCAGCAACCAAGTAATAAAGTAACTCATTTACTTTATTTTCTGTTCCAGAAACTATTAGGAAATCCAGGTGTATTACTGTGACTCAAATTGCAATTTTCTAAAGCATGTACTTAATATACAAATAAAAGTTTCAGTATAGTTACTTCTCAATCAACCAGCTTCTGGGCAATATCATGTATTGCTTTAAGAGTATTTACCTTTAGTGTTTCATTGAATTCTGGATTGGTGCCTGTTCTGATTTTGGTCTTGCGCTTATTGTTTCGAGACTTATCAGGAAGAAGGTATGACTTGACATAACTATAAATAATAAAGGTTAAAAACAATTAGTTGGAAAAAAATTTCAAGTACAGCTTAAGGATTTCAATGAATTAAACTGAAAGCATAAGAGACAGAGCCAAAGAAGACATAGTCTATATAATGTCTTTCATAAGAGTGAAGCAGTAAAGATTGGTAAGTGAAGGATCTGGAATCCAGCCCACAGATTTTGGATCACCCCATAACTTATTGGTTCTGATAACCCCAGTCATCTAACTTTCCTGTACTTCAGTTTCCTCTATGGTAAAACTGAGATGGTAGCAGTATCAAACTCATGGCATTGTCATGATCGAATTCACTGGCATATATACAAAGTTGATGTATTGATTCAATAAACTTAACCAATTATGATTGCCAATGGTTTCACAAACTTACTCTTGGTCCCACTTTCTTATATTAGGCAATTGAGTCAATGGAATTGAAGAATAATAGTTAAAAAGAAGTAGAAAATAACAACCTGTTGTCCCAGTAGCAATTCAATCCAATACCTTGGCTTGTGTTATTTTAGGCTTCTAAGATAAATGGAGATTAAAGTACATAGGATGCTACCAGGTCTTTGAAGTACATCTGCTAGAGTTTTAGATGGCCACTTTCCATGCTAGTCAGAATAGGTGCATTGGTCCTGCAGTCCTCTGAAATTCAATTAAAGAGCAAAGTAGACTATTCTACAGTCACAATCCATTTGTTTGTCTATCTTGGTATACTTATAAAACCAGCTTTTCTGTGTTGTTTATTGTACCTACGTCATTAATTATACAGAAAAGGGTTAACATGGTAGGCTTGAGATTGTAATTCTTAGAAAGTCTTACTTGCAACTTTGGCCTTTAGGTGGTAGCTGGAAAGGATTCTCATTGATCTTAGAACTGATAAAAATACTCATTGAGCCCAAGCTGTTTGCACCAACAATGTAGATCATGCTGAACATTTGTTTTTCTTCTAGGAGCCTAGGAATTTGGTATGTGACCAGAGCAGTCTCTAATAATCTTTCCTGGTAGAAAACATTTTACAAGAATTAAGTGCATTCTGTATGATTGACTTAAACAGGGCTCATAGAAGCTTGAATATCATGTCTTCATGACTTCATTCCATGTGTCTTTTCTTTTCATTGGTTATAAGTACATGTAGAGTCATATGAGTCCTTCCTGTGAATCACTGCACCTGATAGTTTGGGTTTTTTTTGGTAGAACCAGGGATTGAACTCAGGCCCTTGCGCTTGCCAGGGAAGTTCTTATTCCACTGAGCCATCTCCCCGGCCCCCCTGATAGTTTTTGTGCAGACTCCTAACACATCTTTACATGTAACTCCCCTTCAAACCATGATTCATACCTGCTCTCTCAGTCTGAGCCCTAGAGTCCTGAGAGCCTAATAATTGTGCTTCTTCACTGTTCAATTGGGTAACAGCTTGGTAATTTTCTCTAGAAGATTCCCCAGAACAAAAATCAACAGGTTGCTCTTGTACATTCTGAGCGTGCCAAAATGTCAGTTTCTATCTCAAAGAGCAGTTCTGTGCAAAGTACAAATTTGTCATTCCTGAATCATGTTGAGTACTGACCTCTTAAAAATTGAGCAACCAGAGACATAGCCACTGTTTATATACTTCAAAGAATATTTCAACATGTGGTATGGGAGGAAAGGGACAATGCTCTGAATGGAGAGGAATACTCACACTCTTCTGAAAAATAAATACACATGCAAGGAATGTAGTACTTGAAATAATCTGAGGAACATGCTTTGTGCTTACGCATCTGTCCTTTGTTTCTTTTCATCTCCAATGGCCAGATTTCTGCAATTCTTGACAAAAATGTTGAGCCCACCAGTTTTGTAGCAGTAGCTGATATGGAGCAGGATTTCACCACTGACCTTTACATTACCATAGTCTCCTGTCTCACTGTAAACACTCATCATGCTATTAAGGCTGGTCTGGCATAAACAAAATGAGAGAAAGTACCAGGTATTATTCCAAGATCTCTTCAATAAAGCCCACCTCATTCATTTAATTATAATTCTTGTTCTTTATAATAAACATGGGAGTCTATAGTAAAGGGAGAAAGCAAGCCACTTGTTTTCCTGTTACATAAGATTTCAGCTGAAGAAAGAAAACAGACCTAGTTGCCTTGGTGAGGAAGGCAGTACATTTTCTGGGTGGGGGATACTTGCCTTTTTAGGTTAGTAAAATTTGTTTACTAATTTCTTCTAATAAATACAGAGTCTCTGAGGAATTTTTAATACTATTTTCCATCTCCATCCTTGCAACTTTCTGCTTTTCTACTAGTTGGCTCAAATTCAAAGACTAGAATACATTGATTAGGACAAAGAAAGCTCATCTTATATTCTGTCATAGCAAGAGCTACAAAGGTTCTTTCTTTCGTTTTTTTCTTTTGCTATTAAGATTTTATTTTATTTTTTATTTTTTTCCATAATTTTATTGACAAACAAATAGCAATGAGATAGTTTCAAATGAAATTGGTAGGACAGTTTCGAAAATTAACAGATTGCATACATTCTTCCTAGTGGCTAATTGCTATACAAGATGCAGACATGATATCCTATTTACAAACACCATTAGAACAAATCACTCTATTCATTAAGAAAATGTAACTATATAGCTATCCTAACCAATTTGAATACACAGATACCAAATGGACATACATCTGTATACTGTTTTTTTTGTTAAGTTCTGTTATTTGAATATTATAGGTGTGTAAATTCAGCAAAATATTCTAAAAGAGTCCAGTAGCCCATAATAGTATTAGGTCTTCTGCATGACTGGCAATGTCAGAAATTGTTGAACTGAGTCCCTTACAGCTCAGCAAAACAGTATGGCTTTACTTCTTATATTTCATTTTTATACTTTTCTGCTGGATGGTTAAGACCAAGGTAAAGCAGGACCTATGCAACAAGA